TCAGATCCCGGATTTGGATAATATTATTGCCCAACGCTAATAACATTTAGGTGATATATACAATACAACCCTTCTTCTCCGGTAAAATCTCCTCTCTCTTTTTTTTTCACGCTGGAGAAAAAAAGAAGCGGGAAAGATCTGAAAAGCTAATGGATCCGATCGAATCTGTGGAGTACGATGGCTTTGAGACGTACAAAGTCGTGTCCCGGAAGCAAGAACCGGCGGCGAACGGAAACCTAGCTGGTGATGTGGAGGAACAATCCAACGGTTATGATGCATGGAGGAATGAGAAGAAGCTGGAATCAGCTTTGGCAAAGATCGATCCTTCAGATCTCGGGGCTTTCCTCATCCAAGTAACGGTAAGATGTGAAATTCTCATCTAAATCATGGAGAAATCAAAAATTCAATTGTTGTTTGTAATTAGAAATCGAATGGCTGGAGGCCGAAGCTGTATCAGCTAAGGGGACTTCTCGATTACTTTGGGACTGCACTTTCTGGAGTATCATGTCCATGGTACGAGATGTTCAAGGAGTCTGCTTTGTCCAATCTGTTCCATGTGATCGATGTGAGCTATTTCTTTTCTCTTTTTTTTTGTTAGAGATTTTCTAATCTAAAGCTGATGATTTATCTTCTTTCTACAGCTTCCGTTATCTCATATTCCTCAACCTGTCTACAAGACATCAGTCGACTGGATGAACCAACAATTTCCAGATGGGATACTCCGTGGCTTTGTATTGTGGACTTTTCGTTATATTTTCTTGGATGTGCTTAAGGGCCCCAGTGGTTGGGTGGGTGAAAAACCTACTAAGAAATCTAACGTAATGTTCACCTATCTCTGCATGTGTGATTGAATGGTGTATCCAGTTAGTTACCTTAACTCCACTATGTTATACTATTAGGTGGCAATATTTGTTGCATTAGCAATGATACTGCGTAGCAAACCTCTTGTTTTGACTTTGGCATTGCCGTCTCTGAGGAAAAGGCTTAAATATCATGGAAAGGGCATGCTTCCGATTACAGTTTGGATGATAGCTCAGGTTCGTCTGATCCCTTAGAGTGTGTCGAAACTTGTGTGTTCTCTCTGAAAGTTGTCCAACTGTAAAATGTGGACAGGCCTCCCAAGAAAATTTATGTGTAGGCCTGTATTCATGGACGCGTAACTTGTTACCACTGGTCGGTAGCAACCATCAGTCAGATGATCTCATCCTCAACTTGGTTGACAAGTCAGTGGAATATTTTCCTGTCATCTCCTTTGCTATATACAATCATCTGATCTTGTTCATGCAATTTTCTTATCAGAATTTTGGAGAAACCAAATGCTAGGACCGAACTTGTAAATGCTTCTGTTTGGCAGGGAGATCTACTTATTCCACCTCCTTCATTTAAGATCTTGCTGCGGCATACATTCCCTGCTTCATCCGCAAGAGTAACGATAATTAATAGTACTGTGAATTTGTAAAACAAAACCTTTGATGCGTTTTTGTCGATTCTGATCACAAGCGTGGTCTCTGTATGCACACAGGCTACAACGAGATTTGAGGCAATTTATCCCTTGTTGAAGGAAGTGGCTCTTACTGGTGCACTAAATAGTGAGGCATTCAAACCACCCATTCAACAGATATTCACTTTTTGTTTGAGATTAGCTGGAGAAGGTATAAGTAACAAACCAAACCTTGAATCCTTGAGTTTTCTGCTTCCCTCTCTCTTCTCCAAATTGAGCTCTAATTTGTTACCGTTGTCACAGGAAATCCTGTTTTGGCCAAGGAAGCTACGTCAATCGCTATCTCTTCTCTTACCGAAAACGTTGATTGCTGGAAGCTCTGGGACAATCTCTATAAGAAGAATCTAGAAGCTAGTGTTGCTCTTCTTAAAAAGCTTGTAGAGAAATGGACGGATCATTCCCTCAAACTATCATCATCACCGAGTGATACTCTTGCTAGTGCACCACGAAGCAAGACAGTCGCTCAACAGATATTCGCCTTTTCTTTGAAATTAGCTAAAGAAGGTGTATTATTATTATTACAAACCAAACCTTGAATCCTTGAGTTTTCTGCTTCCTTCTCTCTTCTCCAAATAGAACTCTAATGTGTTACTTACCGTTGTTCCAGGAAATCCTGTTTTAAACAAGGAAGCTACATCAATCGCGATCTGGTTTCTGACTGAACACGTTCATTGCTGGAAGTACTGGGACAATCTCTATAAGGAGAACCTAGAAGCTAGTGTTGCTCTTCTTAAAAAGCTTGTAGAAAAATGGAAGGATCATTCCCTCAAACTATCATCATCACCGAGTGATACTCTTCCTGGTGCACCACGAAGCAAGGCAATGAAACGAGTCACTCAAAAGATATTCATCTTGTCTTTGAAATTGGCTAAAGAAGGTGTATTAGTAACAAACCAAACCTTGTGTTTTCTGCTCCCTCTCTCTTCTCCAAGTAGAATTCTAATGTGTTACCGTTATTACAGGAAATCATGTTTTAGCCAAGGAAGCTACATCAATCGCGATCTGGTCTCTGACCGAAAATGTTGATTGCTGGAAGCGTTGGGACTATCTCTACAAGGGGAACCTAGAAGCTAGTGTTGCTCTTCTTAAAAAGCTTGTCGCCGAATGGAAGGTTCATTCCCTCAAATTGTCATCGTCTCCAAGGGATGCTCTCACTCTCACTCAAACTATGAATAGCTTCATGCTAAAGGTAATGCCTCTTACTCATTTAAGCTAACTAACTTCACCCTCCACTCAGTTGTAATTTCATCGCCGACCTAACCTGTGATGTTTTTAGAACGAAAAGGCCATCACTGAAGGAGGAGCCAATCGTTCTCTTTACAAAGAAGCTGACAAGTACTGCAAAGTGA